CATTTGATAAGCAATTATAATATTTTTGTCGTTGATTGCATGTAACGTCACTTCACTATTGCTGAAAAGTAAGATTATTTTGATCACAAGAAGTGTAAGTCCATATTATTATCCAGTCCATATTATATTCCATCAGACTTGCTCCGTTCGGGTGCACTAGTAGAAGTCAGAAGCCGAAGCTTCGACGATTTGAATTTATACGGGTGATACTCTTTCGCACGCTGCTATAGGCTTCCCTTCCATTCTTCCAATCACGCGATGACGAAGGCCTCTCACTCGCGCAATGTTACTGTACTACTCTTGTTGTGCTTCGAAATATCGAAATAACGCGCATCTAATACCGTAACTGTTCATATCGAATTACGTGGCATATCTGAATTTGGATTTGGATTTCCAACTTTATTTACAATGAATAGTGTACGAATTTGACGCTTCCAAACTTTTATCAATTTTAGAAAAACTAGTGGTGCATGGCATCGTGCCTTAAGGCAAATTGCTGGAACTCCGTACCAAAAATTAATTTAAAAAAAAAAAATATTTAGTTTCTTTAAATTACTCAAATCAGACGCTTCGTTCTCGGTTTCGGTTCAAAATTGTAGAATAAAACGTGGATAAATTTTTCTACACTTGTTTGCTAATTACAAAGAAACGGCTCGGCCGATCGTCGCACAAAATTAAGCAACGTAAGTCCTCATTGAGTTACATCGAATGGTATTTAACTTTTTGATATCAGTGCAGCCGTTTTCGAGAAAATGTCGACGAAAGGTCAATAATCGGCTCACACAAGACACACACACGCATACTTTTTTCAAATTTGGTCTTATTCGATTCAGAATGGCTTGAACGTTGAGAAAACATAAAATTAGCTAATCGATGTTTTTTTCTCATTCGGAAAGTTTAAAATTATCATTGCCATTTGATGAATTTAGACATAATAAGGATGGAAAATCATTTGAAAAAATTGTTTGAAAAGTGTCATTGTGTATTGGTTGATTAACGGTAGTATTAGCTTTTGAGTATTTAAAATTTTCAATATTTTTTATTTTAAATGTTTGCTGTATTTTCATTGATCATGTGTGAATTAGATAACTTTCACGATATGTCCATTTAGATACCATAACTATCCTATTCAGCATCCCAATATATACTATAAGCTTATAAGCATATCAGCAGTTTTATACTGTAAAAACCAAACAACATACATCACACATATCGAACAATCTGATATCGACATATATTCAGAAAATTTCTCAGTTATTGCCTACATATGGAAATATGTTTATTTGCTATTTTTTCTAAAAATTTCCATCTGTCTTCGTTTACCCTCCAGGGCGCAAACACACCCAATGCTTCATTTTTAATTATTAGATAACTTTCACGATATGTCAATTTAGAGACCACAACTTTCTGCTTATCTCTTTCGACGATACAGTACAATTTATACCCCTTAGACGATTTTATTAATTAAATTCCAAATTAGTAACTATCAAATACAGTATCAACTAGTGGAGCGTGGTATTGTGCTTTAAGGCAAACGTTCGAACTTTTCGTACCGTAATGAAATATTCGAGGAATATTAAATGCTGTCAGATAGATAATTATAAATTATTAAAATTTGTAAACACTTGTGAGCATTCTCTGCTAAATATAATTATTTTTATAGATTGCAGAATGAAAATAAAATAATAATAAAAAAAAGATTATTATAAATACTGTAACATTCATTATTTGCATTTTATAGACAAAATATAAGAGCTTATAAATTGGACAATGATTATATATGTTTAAATAAAAAGTAAATAATCAAAACTTGATCAAGCGTCGTTAGAGAATGAAGGAACTTGTCTCATATTTCTAAGAATTATATAAACTGAATTGCAAAGATAAAATTATTCATTTGAAGTATATAAGTGATCTTTAGAATTTCAGAATTTAAATTAAAATCTGAATCATTTTTGATATTAAAAAAATTTCAATCGTATCTTCACAACCAAAATGTTTTTTGAATCTTTCTAATCGGATGCTTTGTTCTCTCAAAAATGGTCATTTTTCACACCTTAGTTCCTTAATTCTGAAACGGCTGGTCTCATGTCTTTGGATGCCCTGTTCTCTCAAAAACTTAATTTTCATTTTTGCACTCTTTGCTTCTTATCTCGGAAACGGCTGGACCGACCTTTCCTAAAAACTAATCAGCACTAATCTAAGTAGAATCCATTCGAATCTGTTGAGCGGTACTCCCGTAAACGTCGACACAAAATTGTATCCACACACACATGCATACACTGTGTGTGTATGCACACATCATTTTTTTAAAGGTACGCCAAAATACTTAGAAACCTTCGAAACGTAAAGATAAGCAAAAAATTCAGTTTCCATTTTTAGACAATTACAATAACTTACTATTTGGGAATAAATCGTTGCCTATTTTAAGAAATTTCTGCCAAACTTCATAGTCTTGAAAAGGAAATAATTTTTTTTAAAACAAAAACAAATTTAAAACTAGCTGTAAGTGGAATTCTGTCTTGAGGCAATTATGGCATCGTGTCTTAAGGCAAATTGCTGGAACTTCCCGTACCGTAACGAAATGTTCGAGGAATACTGAATGTTTTCAAATAGATTATTATAAATATTGTAACATTGTCTAATATTTAGAAGAATTATATAAACTGAATTGCAGAGTTGAAATTATTTGTAAAGTATATTAGGACTATAGTCAGAATTAAAAATAAAATCTGAAATATTTTCGATATACAAACAACTAAAAAAAAAAAAAAATTGGAACAAAAATTTTTTTTTTCAAAATCAATTATTTTGTTAAGACAAGCAGAAAGTTCTTTGAATCATTTAAATCGGACGCTTAGTTCTCTCAAAAACTGCCATTTTTTACATATTTAGCTCCGTATCTTTGAAATGGCTGGGCCTGTCTTTGCCAAAAACTAATCAGCTCTTTTCCCTATCAATAGGAATCGAATGTTTTTTGAACCATTCAAATCGGTTGATCCGTGCGCCCTAATAAACACTTCTCCCAATCATTACTAATTGAATGTTTTTTAGATCATTCAAATCGGATACTCCGTTCTCTCAAAAATTCGATTTCTATTTTCTGCACTCTTTGCTCCGTATCTCCGAAACGGCTGGACCTGCCTTTGCCAAAAACTAATCAGCTCTTTTTCCTATCAATAGGAATCGAATGTTTTTTGAACCATTCAAATCGGTTGATCCGTGCGCCCTAAAACGTGACTGGAAATTTGTATCCATACATACATACACACACACACACATCCATCCATTTTTTCTGAGGTATGCCAAAACGTTCAGCAACCTTCAAAACGTCGAGAAATGTAAAAAATTTCAATTTCGATTTTCGGCCCATTACAATAACTTACCCTACGGGAAATAAATATCAATTGACAATTTAAACTTTTTAATGATAAACTAAAAACATTTTTTATTGTAAAATCAAATATTTATTATACGTATCACTTTTTGAGGTGACTTCATATAAACTGAACACGATTTCAATAATTAGATGATACTGGAGAGTAATCTACACGTATATTGGTTCGTGAAAATACGTCCCATAGTCGTACCATAACTTCAACGTCAAGTCAAGTCAATGACTCGATATCTTAGCGGGAAATGTACCATGGACAACTCTCGTTGATCATCACATTGGCAAGAGATCGTGAGATATAAAATTCACGCTTTAGAATAGCGATTATTGATAAGCGTTTTACAGCGTCAATGAAATATTTGTTTATTGCATTATTTAATTTTCCAATACATTACAAAGAGAAAAACTGCAATTTCATATTTAACTGTTAATATTGTAATGTGAAATTCTTGAAATTATTCTGATTATTTTGACATCATTTATGTGTATGGGTGGACACAATTATTTATCCACGTTTTTGGGAGAACTAGAATTTGGCAACGGATTTAGATATTTCAAAAAGCATTCGATTCTTACTAACGGTGTGTAGACAGGATATTTTGGAGATACAAAGTAATAAATCAATTGGAAACATTAATCATTGATTTTCTGTTATATATATATATATATATATATATATAAATATATATATATATATATATATTAGCGATTCTGTTATTTCTAGTTATTAAGATGGAAAATTACCCACGTATTAGATGCATTTTGGAGTGAAATATCCTATTCAGCATCTCAACATAATACTATAAGCTTATAAGAATATCAGCAGTATTATACTGTAAAAACCAAACAACATATAACGCATATCAAACAATCTGATATTGACATATTCAGAAAATTTCCCTATTATTGCCTACATATGGAAATATTTTTATTTGCTATTTTTTCTAAAAATTTCCATCTGTCCCCGTTTACCCTCCAAGGGGCAAACACACCCAATGCTTCATTTTTAATTATAAGGGATTTTTCGAAATAAGAACTAAATTATTTACCTAATTAATGATTGTACAAAAATCGGTTGGTAATTTGATGTCAGTTTCGTCGATGATAACGTTTCCATCGTCAATATTTAAGTGCTGTTTTGAGAATGTTTTAGAGGATGGATCTAGATGCGTTGAATTGCGCATATTTGATCCAGTTATACATTTTCAACATTATGCCAAACATTGATTTGATCAGGTTTTGTTGAACGTGGAAAGACGGCAAGCGTTTTTCTGAAATCACCTGAAAGTGAATGCTCTGTAGAATTTTAGCGATCTCTTTCCTCATTCATAACATTGATTTTTTCCCGATAATTGCCTTGTAAGCGTGCAACATCTTTAGGCAGTTCTCTCTTGGTTTCCGCACCTGGTTAAGATTATTGTTTTTGTGTAAAGAAAGGTGAGACTGTAGTTGACGGTTATGACAATATTAATGTATCCCTCAATAACCTAAGATTTTGGTTATTGTTTAGATGGTTATAGTGACTTTGGCCTTTCGCGCAACTGTTTTTAACATGAAATATTAGAAATGTTATTATTAGAAAAATAATAATTTTGTTGATTTACAGATATGGACGAGTGCAGAACGTCAAGCTACTATCGCGTGCGATCGCTAGTCCGGCGGGGGCCAAAGAGACTTCGTCACCAGCCGATGTCGGCGGGGGCAGCGGCTCAGGCGGAATCACCAACGGAGGAGTTTGTGCGGCGGTCGCATTTATGGACATCAAATCAGCATCGAAAGCTCATAATTGCGAGCATAAATTGGATGAACGATCGCTGACCACGGAATATTATGAACCAGCCGCTATACCATCTTCGGCCGGTAGTTCACCCGCTGGTTCTGGATATTCTGGATCTTCAGGTTCGGCGGCCTCTGGACGTTTTCAACCTAATCATGGGTAAGCTAACTGCAAAAGCACGAGAAATGACTTGCGAGTTTTGTTATTGATCCATTGTTTGCATAATATTTAATAAGATTTTTATATTTTCTTGCAAGACATGTATTTCTAAAAATGAATTATTTAAACTCGCTACACTGGGTATTGCATAACTATTGAATATGTTGACATTTGTATCAATACTCGTTTTATGGTTCAGATTTTGATTTGTATATGACTTTTCAATGACTCTATGTTCCTGAATATTAACTATTTGGACTTTTTTGTATTAGTAGTACCCCCGATGACCATCCGACTGGTTTTGTAGAACGTAGTGTTCCTTTCTATGAAAGAACTGTACGACAAGAGCCTGAAGGGAGTTACCTCCGAAGATCGGGTGGATATATAACAACGGACACTATTCGTGGCCGCGGTAGGGATCGTTTGTATAATCGAAATGGGCCGTATACCAATACTATTATCGACAGGTGATTAGTTATCAATAATTGTGGACTATTTACAATCAGATAAACATATAATTATAATGAGATTTTTTTATTTTAGGGGAACACCCATAGTACACCATCGAGTTACTCCAACGTGGTACGATGGAACGGTTGCTTCTTCTTTGTCTCGTGGATATGGCTCAGTTGCAAGCGCCGTTGTGACCCCTGAAGTATCTTATGAAAGCGAAGTGATAGCAAGCCGAACATTGAAAAAGAAGGGCATTGTTTTGGCTAAATCGCGTTCAGGTTCCGAGTCCCCTGGCGGTTCGATATCTAGTAGTAGATCGCGATCCCGTAGTCGCAGCAGAAGTGCTAGTAGAAGTCCCAGTCGAAGCAGTTGCAGTTCGAGCCGCAGCGGGAGCAGCAGTGAGTCACGTGCTTCTAGTAGTCCTAGGTCGTCGCGTGCACCTCCATCCTCTGCTGCACAAACGGCGGGGCCTGCAGTGCATTCAGATGATCGGCGACCTCTTGCCATTTGTGTACGAAATTTGCCAGCACGCTCTTCGGATACGTCTCTTAAAGATGGTCTTTTTCATGAATACAAGAAACATGGAAAAGTCACGTGGGTCAAAGTTGTCGGTCAGTCAGCAGATCGATATGCACTTGTTTGCTTTAAGAAGGCAGATGATGCTGAGAAAGCGTTAGAAGTCTCTCGTGATAAATTATTTTTTGGGTGCAAAATTGATGTAGCTCCATATCAAGGATACGATGTTGATGACAATGAATTTAGACCTTACGAAGCCGAATTAGATGAATATCATCCAAAAGCAACTCGAACGTTATTTATAGGGAATTTAGAAAAAGATGTGACAGTTAGTGAATTGCGAAAACATTTTGAAATTTTTGGTGAAATTATAGAAATTGACATAAAAAAGCAAGGCGCTATTAGTTCGTATGCGTTTTGCCAATATTCGGATATATGCTCAGTAGTGAAAGCAATGCGGACCATGGATGGTGAACACCTTGGAAATAATAGAATAAAACTAGGTTTTGGAAAAACGATGCCAACAAACTGTGTTTGGATGGATGGCATTGCGGAAAGTGTTGGAGAAAAGCAGTTAAGTTCTCTTTTTCTTCAATATGGTCCGGTATCTCAAGTAACGTTAGATCGGGAACGGGGATTGGCGCTTGTGTTTTTTGAGCAAATTCTTTTTGCGCAATCCGCCATAAAAGAAACACGTGGGGTGACATTACGTGGTAGAAAACTACAAGTAAGTTCATTATAGATTTTATATTATACTTCGTATTTTTTGGCATTAGTTTTATACAAATAAAGTTCAACTGAAATATTTAAGTTATTCAACTGTTTTATCTATGTTATCTCTACATTTTACATACGCTTGTTAACGTTTTGATCCATATATAATAAATATACATTTACAATGAAGGGGGATATTTATTAAATTAAATATTTTTTTCTGTATATTTTATATTATTATTATTAAAAAATTTTTTAATAATTTGAATTTTAGCACACCTGTTGCAACTATAAATAATAAACATTATATTTTGATATTATATTAAAATTTATATAAGTTTGATATGTAAAAGGTTTTCAGCTGCATCGTTTTTCATTATGAAGCTATTATTATAGTGTTTCTCAAGTATATCAAATATAACGTCAGATACATGTTTCTTTAGTTAACTATTGTATGAACGACGTTTATTTTTCTCGTTTTCAAATTCTTTGGTAATAGAAACTATTTTCAGTTTTTTGGAAATGCATGTTTCTGTGTTCTGTGTGTTATATAAAATTTTTCGAAGTTTTAAAATTCTATTATATTTTTCTGTAACATCAAGTGCTGCATAAGCTACCGAGTGTAGGAAATAAAAAAAGTTCTAAAAATTGTTCTTCAATAATTTGTATATGCAAACTGTATATGCTATTTTCATAAAATGGTTATTAAATGGATCGATTCTGTGATATGAGTTCTTAAATTCATCTCCAAAACATGCGGTATACTCGAAACATAGCTGATATATTATGTTTTTTTTTTTTATTATATTAATATAAATTTAATGTTTTTGATTTTTCACTATGTAAGAACTAAAATTTATGCCAAATAATATACTGATAATAGTTTTCTTATCTTGCAAACTTGAAATAGACAAAAGAAAACATCAATATATATAAATATATATATATATATATATATATATATACATATTTATTTATTTATTATAGTTATATCATGCATGGATGTTATGGCGTGCGCGTATTTCTTATAAGTATATAATTATATCTTTGTTTATAGGTGGATTTTGCTTCACGTGAATGTCAGGAAGCATTTTATGAAAAATTAGATAAGTCAACAAGCTCAATAAGTAGCAGTAGTGAAAGAACTGCAGCATTCGATGTCGTTCCTCCTGTAGCGGCGACGACACCGAGATTCACGCGTTACGATGCTCTTGCTAGACCCCGAACTGCGTCATATAGCAGATCAGGTAATCCTATCAGCGCGGCTTCAGCTGGTGCTGTTTCTCCCGGGGGCCCTCCTGGTGCCAATACGCCTCGAGGTCGGGCACGACTCACCAGATATCCGCCAGATTATTATGATTCAGCAGGAGAATATACTGAGAGGCGCTTTCGCAACTACGACGAGTTCAGTCAAGGTTCGGGAGCATCACATGAAGATATATTTGAACATGATGTATATGCTCCACCTGCTTGTTACTCAGCTCCTGATTCGAGCGAACATGCTCGAAGACGTTCTGACAAAATGGTATCTCCAGTACAAGAAGACGACTTTAAAATACGCTCTGTGCAAAGTGTTGTTATTCCAACAGACCTGCAAACTGGTGGAACAACAACATTTCCACCTCCTGATATTCGACATTTACAAAAGGAGCGGGTTCATCTTTTGGAACAGCTTGAAGAGTGCCCATCAAGTGGTGATGAAATGATTAGTCCCAAGAAACGTTTAAAATTAGACTCAATGTGTCTAGACAATATGAATATGTCAGGATTGTCTAATCTTGAGGCTAATTTTGAATCTACAGCTGGTAGTCATTGTGATGGTAACTTCACAGGATCTCATCATCGTGGTGGTGAATGTGTGGAAGTACGACGACTCTCTGATTCTGGAACTGTGAGGCATCTACACTGTAGTCGTAGACCTTCTGGGGAGAGCGCTCGTAGTTCTCAGGGAGCTGATCGTATCAGTACTATTTACACACCGCACGCTGTGTGTAAACGTCGAAAAACAGGTGGTTCTTCAGAAGGAGAACACATTTCACGTGGCAGGTGTCATCCATTACACTCTCATCATGCTCGTGAAGCATCTGGTGGAGAAAGTGCTGATGGTTCACGTCCTGGCACACCTTTATGTGATGAGAGACCTGAAATTTTGGTACCGATTGAGCCTAGACGTATTCCTGATAGAAAAGAACGAGATCGTAGTCCTATATCCTTGCCTTTGCCTCGATTTGCAGAACAGATATTGCATCAAAACAAAAGTGTTGAAACTAAGCCAATACAACATCCAGTAGCATCTAGTCCACCCGTGACGGTTACGAGTCCACGACTTGCAAATTTAAATTTACAAATGCAACAGAATATGGATTCCTGTCTTGTTCCACCCCCAGCCAGCCCTCCAACACGATTGCCTCTGCTTAGCCCTAATTCAAGTGATTCAGAAGCAACACCTCCTAGTCCAACATTAGAAGAGAGAATAAAGAGCCTTGATGAGAAATATGAGAAATGGTCAGGTTTGAGATCCTTTTCACATGAATCAGCAAGTAAAGTTGAAGCTCCAGCAAATGCTGTAAATCTCAGGGTTCGTCATAAACTTTTGGAGTTAGATATAAATGAAGTACAACCATCAGATATATTAAAATCAGTTCTAGCTCGACCGTCTGTATTTGATGAAGATAGCAAACGATTAGAAAACATTGGTGATAAATATGAACCAAAGGAATTTTTACCTTCACGTGGTGGTCAAAATAACACTCTGAGTAATTCGGCTGTTACGCCATCAAAAACGTCACCTATGGTTTCTTTACAAATTGCTTCTACAGGAGCAACCACATGTATTCGAAGTCCTCGTCCTAAAACCCCCCCTTCCACACCAAAGTCAGCTCCAGCTGTTACATCAGTACCTGCCAAAGGCCTGCAGTATCCATTTCCAAGTCACCCGCCAATTATGATGACTCCTCCAATTTCTACAACAGCATTAACCACTTGCAATTCTGTTACCAAGCTAGCAAGTCCTGTAAAAAGTTCTGTGGCAATGGAAAGGCAATTTCCACAATCATCTAAAATTTTGGCTAAGAGCTTATCAGTTCCTGGTAGCACAAATTCTGGAACAGTGTCTTTTATGGAAACTAGTGCAATGTTAAACGCTTCAGTGAATAAGCCTGTTCCATTAAAAGTTAATACACATAAAGTAGATAAGTGTGGTGATAAAAATAAAGTTAATAAAAGTGATGTAAACAATAAAAACAGAACTGTTAAGAAGTCAAAATATCGTGTACGAGATAATCATAATGAAAGTGATAATTTGGATAGACGAAAGGATATTATTTATAAAGCTAGTGAACTTATAATTAACCCAGGTATAGATTTAGCAAATAGTAAAAAATGTGATAAATGTGAATGTGAAGAAAGTGATAAACAAAATGAGGAAAACAAACGCAGAAAGATAGATTCGAAAAGAAAAAAATAGAGAAGCATAAATTAGAAAAAGAAGGCATCCAAAGGGAATGTTTTGAGCAAGAGCGGTTAGAAAACGATCATCATGGGAATCAATGGCGAGAAAAAGAGTGTGACGAGACAGATCATGCTGAAAAAGATAATAAGCGTTTAGAAAAAGAACGTTTGGAAAAGGAAAGCTTAGAGAAAGAACGCTTGAAAAAGGAAAGCTTAGAGAAAGAACGCTTGGAAAAGGAACACATTGAAAAACATCGTTTGGAACATGAGCGTACCGAAAACGAACGTTTGGAAAAAGAAAACTTGGAGAAGGAACGTCTTGAAAGGAAACGTTTAGATAAAGAGCGTCTTGTAAAGGAACGTTTGGAGAAAGAGCGTCTTGAAAAAGAACGTTTGGGGAAGGAGCGGATTGAAAAGGAACGTTTGGAGAAGGAGCGTCTCGAAAAAGAACGTTTAGAGAAGGAGCGCCTTGAAAAGGAACGTTTGGAAAAGGAGCGCCTTGAAAAGGAACGTTTGGAAAAGGAGCGACTTGAAAAGGAACGTTTGGAAAATGAGCGACTTGAAAATGAACGTTTGGAAAAGGAGCGTCTCGAAAAGGAACGTTTGGAAAAGGAGCGCCTTGAAAAGGAACGTTTGGAGAAGGAGCGTCTCGAAAAGGAACGTTTGGAAAAGGAACGCCATGAAAAGGAACGTTTAGAGAAGGAGCGCATTGAAAAGGAACGTTTAGAGAAGGAGCGCATTGAAAAGGAACGTTTGGAGAAGGAACGCATTGAAAAAGAACGATTGCAAAAAGACCGCCTTGAAAAGGAACGGTTGCAGAAAGAGCGCCTTGAAAAGGAACGTTTGGAGAAGGAGCGCCATGAAAAGGAGCGTTTGGAGAAGGAGCGCCATGAAAAGGAACGCCTTGAAAAGGAACGTCTGGAGAAAAAACGTCATGAAAAAGAACGTTTGGATAAAGAACGTCTTGAAGAAGAACGTTTAGAGAAAGAACGATTGGAAATGGAACATCTTGAAAAGAAGCGCGTGGAGACGGAGCGCCTTGAAAAGGAACGTTTGCAAAAGGCGTTTCTTGAAAAGGAACGTTTGGAGATAGAGCGCTCTGAAAAGGAACGTTTGGAGAAGGACCGTATAGATAAGAAACGTTTGGAGAAAGAACGTCTTGAAAAAGACCGTTTGGATAAGGAACACCTTGAAAGGCAGCTTACGGAGAAAGAGTGTATTATGAAAGAATGCTTGGAAAGAGATTCACTGGGAAGAAAACGTTCAGAAAGAGACCTGCTCGAAGTCGAAAACATTGAGAAAGATCGCTTAGTAAAAGAGCATATTGAAAAACAACTTCTTGAGAAGGAACTATTAGAGAAGAAAAGATTAGAAAAAGAGCATATTAAGGATCGCCTAGAAATAAAACAAATTGAAAAAATTTGCGAAGGAAATGAGACATTACCTTTAGAAGAGGAACGATTAAATACAGAGCAATTAGTAAAAGAACATAAGTTAGAAGATCTACCGGAAAATGACAAGGAACGCATGGAAAGACTAGCTAAAGAAAAAATAGAAACCAAAAAGAATGAATGGCTACAAAAAGAAATAGTAGAGAAAGAATTGGAATTAGAACTGGAACGGGGGCAAATTGTTAAGGAACGCATTGGAAAAGAATGGTTTGATAAACAAACTTCTGAAAAAGTGCGCATTTGTAAAGAATATAATGACAAAGTGCGTGTTAAAATAGAACATGACGAAGAACGATTCAGAGAAGTTGACATAGACAAAAATGTAGATAAAGGAAGTTTAGGTAAGATTCACGATAAATTTACTACGGAAAACTCGAGACAAGGTAAAGTAAAATTAAATAAAGAGTCTTCGGATAAACAACGCCTGAATAAGGATAAAATAAATAAAGGAAAGGATCAGGAGGATGAAAAGTTTAGGGCAGATCAAAGTGATAAAGAGAAGAAACTTGAAAAAGACCGAGCTTCCTGCAAATTTTCTAACATTATATCAACACGCGATGAAAATATATTTGAAAGCGAACGATTGCATGAAAATGAATCCGAAATCTATGGTAAAAAAGTAAATTCTGATATGTCGGACAGCGAATTGGTGGTAGACACAAAACATAGAGAGAAAATCAATACCAATTGCTACACTCCAGCCGGCATAGGTTGCAAGCGCCGAAACAGTTTGCGTGAACAAATAAATGAAGATAATGTGAAAAGATGTAAACTTACTATGGACGAACAAGTGGAAAATGCTGAGATGCGCGTTTCCAAAGATTCGCGACAGAAAGAACGAACAAAAATCGTGGACAAACGCGAGAAGGACAAACGGATGCGTTTAAAAACGGAAAAAGTCGATCGGGAAGAAAAATCAAAAATTTCTTTGCCTAGTTTACCACCACCACCTCCGCCGGTGCAAAAGAAAAACAACAATAAGGAAAGTACGTGCATAAATTCACATCCTGCATCACCTCCAATTGCAGAAGATTTTCTTGCCAGGCTAGAGCTGCGCTCTAGCGAAGAGGACGAGAAACAGCGAGCTCAACGTAAAGAACTCAAAGAGCAGAAACGACAACAACAGTTACAACAAATTCAACAGCTTCAGTTACAACAAGAGGCTCTCCAACAGCAGCAACAGATCAAACAAGAGGAAAGATTTTTGTCAGAGACTTTGAAAATGGAGGATGGCCGCAAAAAAGAAAAAGAAAAACGAATTTCAGTAGAACGCAAAGGAAAAGATGAAACTGTAAATCCTAAGTCAAGTGAAAATTGCAGGAGAAAAGTGAGAAGGGTTACAAATAATAGTACTGATACATCGGATTCCGATGAACCAAAGAAGCATTCCATTTTTGATATAGTGGATGACGGGCCGACATACATTTCCATGTATGATAAAGTGAAAGCTCGATCATGCAAAAATATGCAAAAACAAGAAGAGGAAAAGCGCCAAGAAAAGATTAAAGCCAAATTTAGCCAACTTAAGCAAAGCAGAGCAAAACGTGAAGAGAAGAAACGTTCGATGAGTTGGGAAGGCGATTCGGATTCGGAACAAGATAGGTCGTCTAATAAACAAAATCGAGGTCGTTCAGGAAAGAGTATGATAACAAGTTCATCGGAAGATGAGCACAACACAGTGCGCAAATCAGTCGAAACGCGTTCGGACATGAGTTGCGAATCGGCAGCTGAAAGAACTCTGTCTTCTCGTAGAGGCTCACGCATTACTTCTGACACTTCCGAAGACGAGAATGCACGATTGAATATCAGTGCTATTAAAACTGAAGTGCTAGAAAGTGAAGTTGAAGTTAATGATAAAAATATAGTAATCACATCAAATAAAATGGAAAAGCCTCCATCTCCGAACATGTTGCAAAAATTGCAACGCAGGGAGCGCAATACCAAATCCCGCGATTCTAAAGTTATTTTTGTGAACTGTTCCGAAACAAAAGTAAAAAGTCCTGATATAAATTTATTACCGTTAATTAAAACAGAAGTTAAAAATGAGGACATAAAGTTTGAGATAAAAACTGACCCGTGCAAATTAAATGAATATAATAAATATTCTGATGCTGATGCAGAAAACGAAGATATGGTCTCTTTGAATAAGGCTGGTATGAATAAAGATAAACATGGACTTGAAATTGATGAAAAAATAAATCTTGACATACGAAAAAAACACAGAAAAAAACAAAAAAGACAAAAGGGTATGGAATGTGATAACCTTTTTGAAAAATGCTTTGATCACCATGAGTCGAATGGTAATGTTGAAAATATAGAGAACGATCATATTAAATCTGGAAATACTGAATATAGAAGACATGTAAGTAAAAAGGACAAAAAACGGGATAAAGTAAAGGATGATAGTGATAAAGAGAAAACAAAAATTAAGAAAGTGAAAAAAGTAGAAAAATTAGAAAACAGCATATTTAAACAGGATTGCTTGAGTAACAGTGTTCTCAAAAGAGAGGAAAAAATACAGAATATATTCGGTTCGTTTTCAGATGATGAAAGTGCGTTGGTGAATAAAGATAATGATATGTCAAACGTTTACTCTACTTCTTACAATAGTGATTGTAAAGATGATAAATTTACAATATCAAACGAAAACTCTAAAAATTATATCAATGATAAACTGATTTACAATCAGAAACATAGAGAGGAATCCCGAAGACGAAAAGAGAAAAGAAAGAAGGATCGTGATCGTAAATTTGCACGTGATAATGACATCAGTGTAGACAAGATAGAGAAAGAGGGCACATTAGAAGAAAAGTTAACGAACGATTTAGCAGAAGATGATAACGATTCTCTGACTTATTGTGGAAATTCTCAGTCTAATTTTTCAGATAAAGGCGCAACAGAGGTAGACGTGTTTCGATTTACTGATGGAGATGACAGTTTGGAAGGTGATGGTGCTAAATGTAACACCTCTGGAAGTAATCTTTTGAACAAAAAAGAATCAAAAGAGAAGAAGAAGAAAAAGAAACGCAATAAAGAGGATAAACAAAATCGAAAAGAACATCATACTCATCAAGAAAAAAATAAAGAAAAGAATTTGGATAATGTTATTGAAAATCATTGTGACAGTTCTAGTGATATTCGTGAACAAGAAGATGAATGTTCTGATTCTTATGTGGAAATGCAAAGAATTACACCTAATCCCCAAGATTTGGATCATTATCAACAACTTGTTGTATCTCCTTCTAGTGAATATCTTAAATCAGATAAAATAAGCATGGATGAAAGCATAAATGATAATGAATGTCAAATTGAACATGATTCTTGTATAAATAAATCTGGTGATGAACAAGAAACAACAGCAACAATGAATTACCCTGACAAAGATTTTGAAGATGATAAGAAAACTGACGTGTTAGATTGCAAAGATGATTTCAAAAGTAGCTCTGTAACAATTTCTGAAGTATCACTATCATCGCTCACTCCAGAAATTGTTCATAAAAGCGAAACACAACAAACCTCATTGGATTTACCATATGTAGAATGTAACTCTATGCAGAGCCAAATTGATACAAATGCATTACCATCTAACGACGACCACTTAACACATATAATTAAACCAATAGAAAATAAACGCAAAATGGATAAACTTATACCAGGTTTTGGTGTTGATATAGATGATAAAATTCACGAAAATGCTGTTAAAAGTATTTCAGATTTCATTCCTTCTAGAGATAAATTGGATCTTGATGATAGTTTAAATCAAACTGAATCAAATAAATTGATTAAGACTGATAAATTAGAGGAAAAACCAAGAGTTATAATTTCACAAGAGGAAACTGAAGATGCTGTGGCTGCGCTATTAGGGGAAAGTTTTGGTAGTAGTGGTTTTGAACAATATGAAGGTGAAACTAGCCCTATTGGTGGCTCTACAAACATAGCAGAAAATAACATTGCTGATGAAGAAGCCGAGGAAATGAGACAGGCAGTTCAATCTTTAAAATCTACAGAAATTGACGGTATGAAGCCTGATACTCCCCAGTCAGAAAATGATTTACAAATTGACACAGATACAGAGGACAATGCAGAGGATTGCATAAATAATGATAATGCAAACAAAAATCAAGAATCTAATAGTTTATGTCCTACAATAAATAAATGCTATAGTGAATTAATAAACAAATCAAACATGATTGCACATGAGGAGTTGCAAGCTGTTTCTTCAGTTAGTGAAGTTTATCCTGTGCCAAGTGAATCCATTGTTAATTCAAATATTACTAAAGATACTGATTGTAAAACTTCTACTATTTCAAAGGATTTATTGTCTGCAACAACAGAGATATCAAATTCTTGGGTAGTTAATAAGGCTAAACATAATACAGAGTCTAAAGAAATAACACAGATGAATGATCAACCAGCAGCAATAGAACAGTTGGTTGCTTTTTCTGGAAGTACTTCAGGATGCAGACCTTCAAATGTAGTAACGCAAAATAGGCCTGTCCAGGCATATATGGTAACTACATCAAGGGTACCGGCACCTCAATTTTCACATATCCCTGCATATACACTTCAACAAACAAATGTGAAAAATTCTTCAGAACAAATCAATATTTATAAAAAGCCTGTTGGGGTTATGGTTTCATCAAATATTTGTACAGAAGTATGCCATATATCACATCAACCTAATAAAGATTTTAATGCAATGGACATGATTCCAAGGATGCAAAATCTTCCTACCTCATCAATGGTTATATCCACAACAACAGTTGTCAGACCCCAAGGATTACAAATACATAAACAATTGAACCAAACAAACTCTACACAAATTCCAATAAACATGCATAATAGAAGTCAATTATGTTCTGCTTCTCAGACGCCAATTTCTGCTTCGAATTCAATTAATAGATTACCAATACCATCTGTGGTTTCAGGTTCATCTAATATTATATCATCATCAATTACTGACATATCGAGCGTACCTAAACTTCATATACCTGCTATGATTAAAACACATGTACATAAAAGTATTCAAGAAGCAAGTGGATTTTCCTGTAATGAATTTAACCCAAGAATTATATTTTCTAACCCTGAAATACCTATATCTGTTTACACCCAATCTCGAAGCACAATATGCAATTCCAAAGATAGTACACAAAAGGATAGCACACAAAAGGCAGTTTCACATAATTTTATCTCTACTAATGAAAATAATAAAGATCTGAATAGTGATCCAGTAAATTTAACAGAAATTTCTGCAGAAACGGTTATTGGCATGACACAAACACAATATGCTCATTGCAATTATACTTCAGAAAATAACAGAAATGTCAAAATGGCACATTCCGAAGTACGGACACCAGAGATTATTACCAGTTCTAGAATTATACATCAAACTTCAAGCGGCATGTCAATGCAAATATTATCACACATGCCATTAATCAACACTGCTTCAAATAGTGTTAAAATTGAAGAAATTAAGAATGTTTCTGCAGCTGAAACCGCTACTCAAAATCCTGTAATTGTTTCATCAATTAAACAACTGGAAAGTGTAAGTAGTGGTCCACATGAACAATTCACTACTAATCCACTATATTTATCTGAAGGTGATGATAAAGCAATTACATTTAAGCAGAATGATGATGATCCTTTAGATACTTTGAATGCTGATAAATCTAATCATGAAAAAGATTATAATGAATTAGATGAAAATAAAGATGAAAAAATTAAGGATATAAGTCAAGATACAAATGTTGATACAACGCCAAAAGTTGAAAGTATTATTGAAAAACAGTCTTCAGAAAATTCAGAAATGTTGGAAGTTAAGAGTGAAGCAATGGAACAAAAATTAGAAATAATTGATGTTAAGGAAGATAGTGATTGTTGGTCAGCAAAAGAAGTAAATATTGAATCAGTCATTAAAAAAGTTGATGCTTTGTGTTCTGCAGAAGAAGTGCTTGAGAATAAATTTGTGGAAAATAAGGACCAAATAGAAATCACCTCTATAAATTTTGAAAATCAAAATTCAAACTCGATTCATAATGATAATGACAATAGTGATGAACTGAATCAACCAAATAATGATTTAATCAAAAAAGAAAGTACTGCCGATATCGGTAAATGCGATGATGATATTATTATGAAAGAATGTGTTTCACGTGGTGTAGGAAGAAGGGGGAGAATGCGCGGTAGAAAAAGTCAAAGTAGGGTGTTTGATCGCCAAACCAGTCAAGTGAAACGAGGTAAAGGAATAAGCAAAAGAGGTCGAGGTGGCCCTAAAATTAAAATCAATGATAGGAAAGTCTCTCAAGATTTGTCTAATGATATTTATGAATTTCGTGATGATTCTGGGGAAGATAACAAGGAAGATGATAGTCGTCCACGCTTAATTCTAACAATTAAAGGACCAACATCTTCAGCAGTAACTGGCACAAATACATCTGTGTCCTCAACAAAACCTACTTCACCGTCTCCTTTAATAGATGCAAAAGAAGACTTTTCTCAACCATTATACAATACGAGAAAGTCGCGTCGGCTACAAGAACGCGACGGATCCAGGAGCACTGTTGATGATGTGATTGAAGATGTAATTAAAAATGGTTCACTCAAAGGTGGTCAAAATATTCTTCGAAGGTCGACTCGGCAAAATATAATAGGTAAAGCACCAGATAAAGTAGGCCTGACAGAAGTTCGTAAGTCACCCCGTGCTAAAAGACTTAAAGATAAATCTGAAGCATCAATTGACAGTAGTGATGAGAAATGTAGTAAGTCCTTGGATGCAGTTCCAGATGACAAAATAGTCATTAGCGAAACAGCTGTTCTGGATAACTCTGATTCAAAAAAGGTTGTTTTGAATGATGGAGAAGATATAAAAGCATCAGTTGCTTCCGTGAAAACTTCAGTGATAGCATCTAAAGATACTACTTCTTCAACTACCTCGGAGGTTAATACAGTTGTAGAACAAACTGTTATAGAACCGGAATCATTAACACTAATAGATCCTGTGACAGGTGAACTAACTGTAGTATGTCAGAGTAAAGAAGGTCAATACATTCCAGTTACTACAAGTTTAGAATTTCCAGCATCTTCTTATTCATCTGTTATCACAACTTCCAGCACAACAACTGCGGCAAATTTAAAAATCAGTGAATCAATAGTAGTTGATACAGCAAAATCTAATGCACCTCCTATTACTAACTTAGATACACCAGTTATAAGATCAATGCCATCAATTGAAACTACAGTTACACCTAAGCCACACACATTAAAATCGCATGTGCTATCACATATTCCGAAACCAGTCATTTTACAAACATGTCCTGCTGTTAATTCAATACAAATTAAGCCAAACACTAATTCTGGAATTAATCCTCAAAAATCAGCAGTTATTAATATTCCCCAGGTATCTCCACAAATTTCTACTCATCCTAACTGCAATATCAATCTGGTTAGCAAATGCAATGAACAGAATATAGTAACACCAAGATTCCAGCAAAACATTGTTCCCAAAATTCAAAATATTCACACGCAGGGCACAGTTGTAAAAATGGCTAATGCAAAATCTGCGACAGTTTCGATTTCGTCCACACAATCTAATCAATATACCAGCCAAAAGCCAATATGCTCCACAAGAGTGCAGACAATTCAACAAATTCAAAATCAAAAATCAATACCAACTATTCAAAAGAGTGTTCAAATGAACTCAAATATCATTACGCAAACTACAAATATGGCAATAAAACAAAATGTGCAACTAATACAAGGGCAACATGGTCAAGTGGTAACCACCATACAACGGCATATAGTGACAGGAAAGTCTGGTAATATTCCTATACCAGTTCAAGCAGGTTCTATAGTTGCTCCAAATAAATCAGTTATCTTAACGGCTGCTGTGGCAAGTCCTCCGTTAAAGCAACCTCTCATTACTGGTCAACCAGTTGTGACTGGTATGTATTCTTATAAAATACTTTTGGGTCTTTATATAAAATAGCAAATTGTGCTTATATGATTAAATTTCTAGGTGCAAGTGGATCTAGAGCTACTGTGCCTCACGTATCACCACAAGGACCACATTCGGCATCTCCTTCTCCGCGAGGTCAGGTTCTACAGGCTGCTCTACCGATGCCTGTTTTTGAGGGAGCTATGGTATGTCTTTTTATTAATATTTATAACAAAGTACATTTTCAAATGTAATCCGACTAACCTTGAACATATAATAATTATTCACATTGTTTTGTGGAATGCAGCATGCCGATATAACCGGCAATTTTTCAGTGATAAGATCTAAGAGCCCTCCTCCAGCTCATCAACAAGCATCTCCTATTACACCGGTAATAATCTTATGTTTTTAGCCTGAGAGAATTGTTCAACACGGAAGTTTATAGATTATATTATGTATTGTAATTAAGATAAATGATCATTGAATGTTTATAATAAACAAATATGTATTTATGTTTTACAGAGTGAGTCTGTCACCCATTTTCCAATGATTCCTATAAGGGGCGTAAATTCAAGAGATCTGAATCCACATATAAATGAAGTATCGGGATATTCTATGTATCAACAGTATTTGAGAGTTCAGGAATTAGGAGTAACGCGACTGCCGTATTTATCACGGTAAAATTATCTTTATTCGAATGTTTCAAATTTTTTAATGTTGGATTTTGTTTATAAGTTCATAAACAACGTTTCATGTTTGCAGAACTTCAATTTTACCTGGCCTGGATCAGAATGTAGAAAGTCATGAAAATATGATTAGGATACGAGACGATCTTATAGGCAGCCCTCCTTTAGAACTACGCCGGCAAGCTGCTATTAATCCTAATATTCCGTCCGCTAGACAAATTACTGCTGTTCCACACAGTTTACAATCTCCTCATGATCGCGCTACAGGTAATACTAGATTTTGAAAAAGTTTTAACAATTTTTAATAACTTTAACAAATCGCCTTGAAATAATATTGTTATTTGAAATAGATTCACCGCAAGTTGCTCAAGTGTACATGCACAGTTCGCGAATAGCCGTACCACATTATCCTAGTCAAGGCAATGCGCGATTTTATGAGGGCACTTGTACACCATCGCCCGCACATCGTGCCCCTCTCGCAGTCAGCGTATCGACGGCTAGCATTCAGCAGCAGATAGGTGCCGCATCGGTGACGCCAGCCAAAAAGCATTCGCCGACCGCGGCGCATCAGACTTCTTTGGCAACATCAAGTGCTGCTGTAGTTGTAGCGACTGTTGCTCCGCTCATGACCACGCGCACGGCAGCCACTGTACATCAACGTGCCGCTATGGTGCCGTTGCAAATAGATTCATTACTGATGCGCTTGCAGCGATATCCAATAATGTGGCAAGGACTACTGGCACTCAAGAACGATCAGGCTGCCGTACAAATGCATTATATGCAAGGAAATTCGCATATTGCGCGACAATCGCTCCCGTGCAACGTGGATGGGAGCACGCCACCTCTGCGCATCCTTCAACGGATGCGACTGGAACAGGCTCAGATAGAAGGAGTTGCTAGAAAGATGCAGGTTAGATTAAAATAATATGACAATACTAATGACTTTTCTTGATTGAACTTAATAAAATTGTTTATAATTCTTTTGCTTAACTTTATATAGATATGAAATTTTAACCATTTTTTTACAGACGCCAAATGAATATTGTGTTTTGCTTGCTCTGCCTTGCGGACACGATCAACTAGATGTTCTGCAACAATCCAGAAATCTTTCCAGTGGATTCATAACGTATCTTCAAGAAAAAAAAGCGGCAGGGATAGTGAACATTGCTGCACCTGGATCGAATCAAGTGTCTTATGTAGTTCACATATTTCCATCTTGTGAGTTTTCAAATGAAAATCTTAATCGCATTGACTCAGATTTATTAAATAGAATAGCAGATACCTCACATTTGCTCATTGTCATTGCAACCGTTTAAGTTGTAGAAATGCTTAAGTTTAAGAGAATGATTTATGGTTTTATTTTCCAATTTTGTTTTACTGTTAATATAAAAATTTCCATATTTGCTCTACTTTACAAATGGTTATAACTTATGGTTTTGTCTACTGAATTAATTTAGATTTATTGGACAAATTTTTGAAATTGACTGATGGATATCTTAATGGTGGTATTTTTGTATACATAATTGGAGAATTTGAATACATGCAATTCTAAAGTCTAACCAGATAATAATTATCAAATAATTATTATAGATTCTGTTATATACTTGCAAAATGTCAAGTGAGAAAGAATTTTAATTTTTTATGCTCAAAACGTTTCATTCATTTTCTCCATTCCAACATTATTTGTAAATAATTGCAGAATATTAGAATATTATAAACTACTTCAAACTGTGATCTATGACATAGTTTTTAAGAGTAAATTATTTAAGAGTAATATGTATGCAAGAATGTATGTATGTTTGTATGCACATGTCTGTTGTGTAAGTGAATATGCATGTGTATATGTGTGTGCATATATATTTATATATATGCATAGTGTGCATGTACGCACACATATATATATATATATATATATATATATATATATATATGTGTGTGCGTTTTTGGATGGTGAAAATTATATAGGTCAAAGTCATGAGATATTCTTGCAAATATTAAAAAGCAAAATTAAGTAACTTATATTAATGCTTCATGTTTTTATACATTAAAGTTTTTATATATGTCCTTCACCATCCAAAACTCAAAATGTATGTATATATGTATGCATATATATAATTATGTTTGTATAATTGCATATATGTATATGCTTAAATGTATATACTAAACCACACGTATAGATACACAAGATTTAAAAGTATGATCAAAAATTCAATATGCATGGTTAATATATACAGAACATCGACATTTGTGCAAGATTACTAATGCATTATAAGCAGGTGTATGTAAGAATGTCTGTGTGTGTATGTCTAGAAGTATAAACAAGTATTGAAAAGTATAGGTTCTGACATAATTGAGACACAAGTAAGTACATGCATTAGTTTGACAGAGTATTTTCAGGAATACAATTAGGTTTGATTGACCAATTGGTAATTGACAGTTACAGTAAAAACAATTTATTATTTTAGCAACAAACTTATATATATATATATATATATATATATATATATATATATATATGTATATATATATATATATATTTTTCTGAAGAGATAATGGAAGCTTTCAATTTGATTAGGAATATATTAGCTATCCAGAAAATTACCCACCATATATATATATATATATATATATATATATATATATATATATATATATGTGCGTGCATTTGCATCATTTTCTATTCAGCTAATATTTGTAAGTCATATTTTTCCCAACAATAAAAATTATTTCGAATTAGTTTTGAAATTTGTTAAAGAGTATTCCCATCTTCAGGAATTGTTTATGAAGATTAGAACTGAACATAAATTACAATAAGCACAACACTTAACTTCTTCTTTCACTTTTTACATAAACTAAGAAATTTTATGAAATTAAAAGAACTTACTAGTATATTTCCAAAACACAATTTCTATACATAATAAAGAAGATAGACCTAGCTTTTTATATCAAATTTTCTATATTTATGTATAGTTTTTTTCCTAATCATTATTTAATTTTTTTTCTTAAAATCTTAGGTCTCTGAAACATACAATAAAATTCAGCTTTATTAGGAGTAGTAATGAACAACTTTTGATGAAGGTGGTAAACTTATCCAATTTCATTAACCAATTTTGAAACAAAAACTATTTAGTTTGAAAAGATATGAATAAAATAATAGCTGGCTAGAAAATGACATGCTTGCACACACTCGCATACACACCTGACACACATATATATATATATATATATATATATATATATATGCATATGTGTGTGTGTGTGTGGTTTGTGGAGCGATAATATTAAAATTAAACATGGCATTTAAAATTAGTTGTTTAACTTTTCGGTGATAAGGTTTGCCCTTTTGTCAGAAATTGCTGTAAAAATAGTTTCCATTTGCATCTACTCATATTATTGATACATAATTAGATAGAGATATATTTATCAATATTGCGAATAGTGTATAAAATTCGAAGCAGTTTTGCAGTAGTCATAAATTCAAAGAAATAAACCTTTTTTCCGAAACATGGAACACCAAATTTTTTGTTATTAAACAAACTTTTGTTCAGAAAACATGAACTAAAACATAGCATATTACATACACATATTTATATATATATATATATATATATATATATGTGTGTGTGTGTGTGTGTGTGTGTGTTTGTTTACGTTCATGTTTAACAAAGTGGACTACGAAATGTGTCTTTTTGTTTTTAAATTGATGATGCGAAAAATGAATATAGCTGAATAAAATTAAAACTAATCATAAGTTAAAGATCTCATGTTTATAATTTGTTTATATTTTTTCATATTATAGATGTAATAATTATTATACTTTGAGAGTTATAAGAGTATGTATTTTAAATACATTATTTGATCTAATTTCTACTAATTGCAAATAACCACATTTAATTTTTGAAGAAAGAACAATTTATTTTTCATGAAATAGAAATCTTAATTGAATCTTCAAATATAGTGATTTAGTGCTTTATTTGAGTTTACAATATCTATGAATTATTTAAGTAAATTATTCAAAATAAATTTATTAATTGAACTAAAGGTGATCATATTATTAACAATACATGATAGTTCATTTACATTTTATTATTTATTAAAATGATGTTAAGAAAAATTAACTTAATTTAAATTAACTTAAAATTTATTAAATATGATAGTAATATAATTTGAAATTCAAGTCTAAATATGTCTAGGAAAAATTCCTTAGATAATGTTAATATTGACATTCAAACTGTAATTTGGTTTTCTGAGAGCGTTATATATATACAGTTAGTATACATTTCTTGTATCTTCTTATAAATCAAACCCTTGATTGATATCTTATTTATGAGGATATCAATTTATCCAGTTTAAATTATTTAAGTATATTTCTTGAGCCTAATCCACTAACAAATTTACAATTTTTATTACCTCAAGCTTTGAAAATTAAAAAAAAATCTAGCGAATATCAATGAATGATGTGCAACGAATGGTGTATGATTCATGAATTTTAAATTGTTATTGGACTACCAATAAAATATGTATAAATAAAATCTATTACATAATTTGTATGTTACTGTACAGAATAAGATTATATCAATAAGTTAAGATGTTTAGATAGCAAAATTTAATATCTTTCATAAGATGATAATCTTAAATAAATTTCTTATGTGAGTTATGTTACATAATATGTTAATTAGAATATAAGAAAGATATAAACACAAATCTAAAATAAGTGATGAAGAACATAAGCGCATACAAATAACTGTGGCAAAAATATTATAGATATGTGCATATGTAAATTTATTTAATGTAAATATAGTAAAATATGCATAAATATATATATATATATATATATATATATATATATATGCATTGTAAGTTTGATGTATATAATTATTGTAGGCTTTTACAGAAATCACATAAAGCAGAAAAACATTATAGTGTTGTTGCAGGAGCACTACCAATGTTTTTCGGCAATGAAATGTATATGAATGATGTTTTATAAACTTTGTTAATTTTATGAATTATTTAAAAAGTTAGTTATTGTAGACATACTGATTTTTTATTTAACTTCATAAAAACTAAATGTGATCATCGTAATTATGAAATATTGTAATCTTGTGTATATTTTGTATATAATGAAAATATCTGTATCTTAAAACCTGTCTGTATTGTACCTAGAACTCCACCCAACTATAAAATACAATTATTACAAAAAAATCTAAGTCGTTTTATTGCAACATTTTGTGTATCATATTTTGGGGTCTAATAATTGAGTGTAAAATTAATAAAAACAAACGTTTTTTAATTTATTTTAAAATCCATATATTGTGGCTATAATTCTAGCCTTCATAGAGAATTAAAAAATTCTGGACTAACACATGCAACAATAGTGTTTCATACGGTTTAACACTAATTAAAGTAACTAGATGATTGTTATACTTATATCACAATTTAACTACAAGTATTTAGTATTATTTTTTTAACATAATAATTATATTATTTACTTGCTTAATTAGCTTTGCTTATACTTGAGTTATATCCACAAGTATGTATCATCTAGGACTTCTACGATGTACATGCAAGCAGTGGTATGAATTACATTACATACTGAAAATTTTGTGCATTTTTAGTTTATTAGTAACATGTATATGATAAAATTATTTGTCTAAGAAGAGTTAAGTATCTGTAGAACATACTTCATTTCTACTATTTTATTGTTGTGGTTTTTTTTATTGATATAATACTTTCATATCTCAGTCAGACAGGGGTGGCTGGTATGAGAGATTATGAAACAATTTTCATATTTTATATATACATATTATTTGTCTATTTCATTATACAATAATATAATATTTATTATCATTAATATATTATTAAATATCTATTCAATCTTCTTTGTATTCACTTTCTTTATAATATTTTTTTATTTTCCTTTTGAAATTATTGTCGTCACTGGTATTCTTAATATCGATTGGCAGTTCATTATACTGTACTTGCGAAAATTTTCGTGTTGTCTAGTGTAGTGTTCGTGTATATCTTATATTATGTCTATTGTTATACTTGTTTTAATTCTGTATTTTGTGTATTAATTTGCCTTCCTCTATTTTGTTGTTATTGAATGAATATTGGTTTCTGTCTGTAAATATTTGGTGGGTGTTAAATGTGGAAAATTGTGATGTTTTCATGGCTTTGTTTACTATTCTTTGTATGTCATTTAAGTTAGCTTTAGTTGTTTGAATCCAAGTAGTTATTCCATGTGAATTCATGGATATTATGGCGCTTTCAAAATTAGTATCTTTTTAGCTTAGTCAAAACTTTGTCACATTTTCTTAAGTTTTG